CTTTATTACAAGGCAATATATACCAATGGTAAGAAATCTCCTCTAAATAAAAGCAGAGAAACCGCATGTTGTGTTTGATCCCTCTAAAGGTGACCATTTGTTTAGTCAGTTTGTGTGATCTTTTATAAAAAGATTTATGTTCATATCTGGCAAAGCCAAGGATTTTGATTATAAAACCAGGTCGAATACATAACAAAGCAGCCTGTAAATGCGGTATTACAAGAGAGTACAATTTCCTGGCTTTTACCCAAAGAAGTTCTCTCCTCAATTATTTATATTTGCAAGTTCACCATTGCAAAATCTGTCTTTTAGATGAAATGATATTCCTCTTAGAACTTCTGAAGGGGGAAAACAAGTGTTTGGTAATGAAGCCATTAAAAATATTGCTTTTGGGGGTTTTTGCATGTATGCAAAAGCATGCATTTAGGTAAAGCTGGAGCTGTCAGAAAATATTACAAAATGCAGTAACGTAACATGTACTGCACCTAGTAGGCTCAATCAAAGCTTAGAAAGGCACTTTTCTGATGTGCTATATTCCACTTAGGCTTACACTAAAATGAAGCTGTCCCAATGAGTCAGGGACACAGCATTACTCCTCTATAGCAGTTTCCCCACTTATGTCATTCAGTGTGATCAGATTGATTTATGGTTTACATAAGGACTAGCTATTTCTAAACTTTAAAGTCTATGCAAATTTCTCTTCTGTGACCATAATGGAGCCAGTTGCAATGTATTTTAAAAGACAAAAGAGAAAAAAAGTCAAGCCATATTTGTCCACAGATGTTAGTTACGGAAAAAAACACTGAAACTTCTGAGCTGAGGAACAGCTCTCCTCAGCAAACGCAGGTTTTGAATACTTCTGAATGAAATTAATATCTGCTTTTTGGTGGTCTGCAGGAATGTATTTAGGTGTGAGATACTCTGAATTTTATATTTTTTTTAAGATGAAAATGAGAAATGGGCTTTGAAAATGCATTTCATTTGCCAACAGCAAGAAAGTAGTTGAAAATCAACTTTCTGCAATAATCTCCAGATTTCACAAGTTCATAGTTTTCTGAAATACTCACACTCTAAACTAAATATTTTTTATGTTTGGGTTCTTACCAAGATTTCAGAATCTTAGAGCAAAATTTGATTATTTTTTGCATGAAGGATAATTCAGCTGTTGTTGAGGGAGGAAAAAGATCTGTCAGTATTCTTTGAAAATAAAGGTACAGAAAAAACAGCTGAAGCTGAAAACTGAAACTTGACTGCTCAGTGAAGGCTGGGTTCAGAAAGGCACTTAACTGCTGTAACAAAGCACTTAAATTAGCCGTAAGACTTCCAAAGTAGCTGCACTATTGGTACAATTTGGGCACCTAAAGGTACATCATTATTGCTAAGTGACAGGTGACTATGGAGCAAGATTGAGAACAGGACTCATCCCATGCTCAGGTCACAGCTTAATTGTTAGCCATCCTCTCAGATGTGTTTTGGACGTCTCCGTCTCACTCTCTCCATTCAGTGCACTGTTGGCAAGACAAAGAGTTCCTCCAGAGATCTACATGAAGATATCTGTCTTGGTTTGTACCCCTCCCTTCTTTCCAACACAGAGCCAAAGCACTATCAAACCTCCTGTCTCACTTCAACACGCAACATTATACTTAGATTCCTTTTACTCCCATTGCTTACACTACTGACTCCTGTTATTCCAAACACTTTGAGCTGAAAAATAACCACACAAAATATTGTGTATTTAAGTCACTCAGGCACTAAGTAGGACCCAGAGGAATGTAGTGCTAGATACTGTGTAGTAGTATGGGATGTGGCCAGCTCGTAGCAGAAGGTGGTAGCAGCAAGCAAAGTGAATGTAAGCCAGAAAAGACAGCATGTGTGCTTGTATTTTATGTCACCAGCATGGCATATTCTGAAATCAAGATCTGCAGCATCCAGCTTGATCAGCAAGGATCTATTTGAATTTGTCTTTGTCCGAGGATGATGTAGTTATGTCAGATGCTGATATAGATATGTCAGAGACTTCTGTAGAAACTTTCTCCATCTGCTTTCTGCTTGGACCTATCGCTTGGCCTCTTCTCTTAAAAACTGATTACTTCTCTCCAAACATAAGCAAGGCACCTTTCTTTCTTGTAAAATGCTGGTTATGATATCACCATTTTGTATGGGGAATATTAAAACATTTAGACAAGATAAGAGACATCCTGGTCCTACTCAATCTTTTTTGCATAGTTAGAATTTATCCTGACTGCTTCATAGTGGATTGTGTCTGGAAGTACTCTGGTTAAAGCAATTCTATAACGTGACAAGAATTCAAGATTCACAGGGCCTGTGTAAGTAGGTATTCTAACTGGCCTTTTAGGGTCCTGTCCTAGCAGACTGGGGATATGATCTGGACCTCTGGCAGACTAAGATATGATAGTTTCCTCTCAGACTGCACTTGTTATAAAATAAGGCTCACATAAATATTGATGATATTGTTTTACACAAATATAATATAAAGGCAGGGAATATATAATATAAAGACAGAGACTGTCTTCGCTCTTCTAGGTATGTTTTTCAAGAATTAAATGTGTGAATTCCAGCTGAACTTAGGGGTCAACTAGGTGCAGACAACTTGGTGTTGACAAGACTTCTGGAACTGGGAAGACACATAATTTTAAGCATGACAGGAACTTTGCTGTTGAAACTCTCAGGGCCCACAGATAGAAATGTCTCTGGCTTTAAGCAGCAATTTCACTTTAACTTTTAATATTCCTTTGTTGACCATAAATATATGTATTCTGGATACTTGTCTTTTTGTAAAAATTGACGTGTTCTAGGTTTGGAGATACAAAACAGTTGGATAAATTACTCTAGAAAGTAGTTCTGATTGGTGGAAATAATAAAGTTCAGTTCTTCTTGAATTTAGATTTTTTTGAGTTTAATAGGGTGAAAGTTCCCCCTGGTGCTTCTTCTAACTTGTGAGTCATTCATAGCATCATTCTTCCCCATAGATTCTCTGATATCTGTGAGGAACTGACCTCATCTTTCACCCTTTTCCCCAATAAAGGCAATAATAGAGCCTCTCTCCTCTTCTTCACTCAGCTGTCTATTTCAAAAAAAAAACATGTGCTGACACCTGAAGTGCTCAGTCAAATTTGACTGAAACTGGCTGACAGTTCAAAAGCTATTGGAAAAGGATGGATAAATATACCTTCACATGCACCTTCAGTGTTATGCTAGTAAAGTGCGTTTTCTGAGGAAACTAAGGCAAAAATCCTTTTTGAGCATACTCAGAAGCCTCTGCTGTATCTCATAACAGAACCATTTTCATGTAAAAATGTCCTGTGTAAAGACTATGTTCTTCATAGTTCTCTGAAAATCAAGGATTTAACATCAAAAATGAAGAAACAAATTCCAGAGGAAAAGAAGTACAATTTTAGTATAATCCTGATAATATAAACCACATCAGTAACTTTAGCCTGTACCACTATAGTGCAAAATCTGATTCATGCTTTCAGCACAAGCTGCCATGATTATAGAAAAACAGCTTAATCCCTTCAAATTCATATTAGAAGTGTTGCATTTATTCATAAACCAACAGAATGAATGAAAGGAGTGCCACTGCTTTGGAATCTCCTGTCCAGGAATTTTGAAATCACTGAGGAATCTGTAGCCCTTTTTCATTGCTCTAGATTGTGACTCCACCATGAGAAACTTGTGCTCCTCTGCACCATGGCAAGATGTTATTGTGAGTAGTACCTAGTGTGCACTTTTAATCCAAATTAGAAACTCTGGCCTGAAAATGTACATTGTACTACTACATATAACTTTAAAAGTCTCAGGTGGAACATTTAAATATGAAAGAGAGCAACAAAATAATATTTACCTGACTTACCTGGTCAAATGTGACCAATTTTTTGATTTAAATTTAGATATCGAGGATTCAGTGGATGTCTTCCAGAAGATGATTAATCCTACCCTTCAAGAGGTGGGATAAACACCCAAAAAGGACCTCTTTCTCTTCATTGAACATGAAAGGCACATTGTTGAATAGATGCCCAGCATTTTGATGACTAAAAAAGATGAGATAAAGGATCATTACAAATAATGAAGTCTTACTCAAAAACCTTTCCCCAACCACCATGTTCCTTCTCCAGGAAGTCCATACCATTCTAGAGCATAGTGTAACACCTACTGCTAAAAATTTATATTTACACACTACTTCCTTCTGTCAACCATGCCCACCGTTAAAAAATTAGACTAAAACTCCTAAATTCATTGGGTGTCTTTCCATTGTCTCTGTTGTCTCTTTTAAGTTCACCATGTGCAGAAACCTGTCATGCTGATATGTAAATGGCAATGCATTAGACTGCTGTCTATAATGCTTTTTGTCACTTGAGATGTTGGAAGCATGCAAAACTCAAACCAAACCAAACCAAAACAAGAAAACACCAAACCCTGTCTGATCTCTGTATGAAATTTTCTGAGAAAACTGAAGGGTATTTTAATCTGAAAACAGAATGATATCCCTTTGTCACGGTGCAGTTCTGAATAATTTTATAAAAATTTTTAAGATTATCCTGGATTTATCGTGCTTTGATAAAGAGATTTTAATCCAATGATGATGTGACTGGCAGTTCCAGCCTACATAGGAAGAGTGAGAAGTCGCCTCAGGATCCTCCACATTAGGATCAGTCAGTTACTATCCAGCTGATTCCCTGGATGTTTTTCCTTTACTTTTCAGTAGATTTTGTGTGGGAGGGCTGGGGAGACAAGCACTGCCATCAGTAGGGAAGTGTTGATTTTTGCATTCCTGAAAGTCACTGCTGTGCTAAATGAAGATAATTGGCAGGAATCGATTAGACTCATAAGAGAGTGTTATTAAGGGTTGAGCTCTTTTCACAAATTGCCCCTTCTGCACTTATTGCTTGAGAGACATAATCTCAGCGATCCCGAAATTCACAGAACAGGAGATTGATTTCCTCCTTTTTCTTTTTCTTTCCCCACCTTAAACTCTGCAGGTCAGTCCCACCCCAGGGTGCATCCGGGCGTTAATGAAGATGTTGTACTGCCCTTACTGCAGAGGACTTCCCACTGTGAAACCTTGCAACAACTATTGCCTCAATGTAATGAAGGGCTGCCTAGCAAATCAGGCTGATTTGGATACTGAGTGGAATCTGTTCATAGGTAAGAAGAGTTTAAATATTAGTGGAAGGAAATGCTGGTAATAGCAAATGACTGCTGAGTTCTGTGAGGTTAGAAGACACTGTTGGTCAGTATTTGGAATGAAGCAACTGCAGATGCACCTCACTTTCTAACTGACCCTCCTGGCTTGCATTAAGAAATAACTGTTTGCCCTGCCCTGAGCCAGTCATGTTTAGTATTTCATATTTCAAAAGGAATGGTGTGGTGCTACGGCTTCTGAGCTGAATTATTAAGTGCTGTGTGAAATGTCGAGAAAGATTTGGTTGAGGATTTGATAACAAGCTTAACGTGGAAGAAATAGTATGTATTACAACTGAAAACTAGGCTCTTGCAAGCTGAGAAGATAATAACATTGTGTAACATCCAGTCAACATAAATCACAACAGATGCTGTTCTTAATTCTGGTAGTATATTGGCAAAAATCTTTAAAAGTTACATACATGAGAAATTATTAATTCCTCATTCTTACTTAAAATATGTCAATGTCTCCCTTTCAGTGTACTGCATAGAAAGTACCAAACACAATTAAATGTTAGAATGGCGCATAGATGATAAGAGTTTTAAGTTGCTTTTGGTGATAGGATGACAGGATAGGATGAGGAATTAGACTAGGATAATGATAATATAGAAAGAACAGAAACAGCTAGTTACACCAGTCACTAATGAGCATTATAGTTTAGACTGGATTTCAGGAAAATTAATACAGTTGGAAAAAAATGAGACAAAACTTTATTGTGACTGAAGAAAGGAAATGTTATTTTCTACTTTGGAAAGATAAAACACAGCAATCTCGTTCTGCTGAATTTCAAACCCCACTGACCAATGTGACTTTGAAAATTTGACTCTGACTCATTCATGGATTTTTGCTTTACTCAGCAGGGCGAGATGGATAGGGAGAAGAAAACAGGATGAAAAATGAATCAGAGTATGAAATGTGAAAATGAGCATTGAGTATGCTATAAAAATAGCATGCAAACAACAATATAAAACAAATGATGCATGTACCTATGCCTTCCCAGTACCTTGTACTAGTTAAAGAAGTCGACATCACAAACCATGCTGTATGGAGGGATACCCATGGGATTACTGGTATGAAAAGGAGAGTCCGATCATCATCAGAAAGCTAAGTGGGAACTGATGGGAAAACAAGGCTGACCTATTAGAGACATTGCATAAACTACTTTCCCTTTGTCATTAAAGAATAAGCAAGAGCTGAAATGTAACTAATTCCAATCAAAGAAAATAATCTCGGCTTTTAGAAAAAAACAAACCAAACATTTGAACTAAAATAAATGACAGAGCTTTTATTAAGTCAAGCACATGTTTAAATGAAAAGCTGGAAGGTAAGGTTTCAGGTCTTAAGAGAACATTTCATTCTCTGGCACTTTAAATTCAGTAAGAGTGCTGGGCAGGGTGAGGTATGTGTTGGAAAGTGTGGAAATGCTTACAGACTTAGACTTTCAGAGTCTTTGATGCAGAGCTCTTGTCTTCGTCAATGTCTTTCAGGTTTTGATTTTTCTTGCTCTCAGAAAAGAAAAACTGCAAGAAACTGTACATTATGTTAAAACATAGTCCTAATTTATTAAATACTATGTCAAGCAGGCTGCTATGCGATTATCCCTGCAGGTCAGCGATGACAAGGCGGTATACTGTATAAATACATCAAATCATATTTCCTTTCTTCTAACTATACAGCTTCCCCTCTATAACTTTATGGGGAAGAGAATAGAGGAGGAACAGAGATTTTCATGTGTTTGGAAAAGGTAGGCTGTTTTATCCCATTTTTCAGGCCTCTGACAGCTTTGTTGAAGAAGAGGGTCCTTCCTTTATGAAAGATTGAAATGAGGCAAGTTGTCTTTGTCTCTGACAGCTGTCAGAGGCTTTCTAATAACAAATCCAATTCCCTTAGTGGTAAACCCAACAAAACTTCTACTCACTGAATTAAAACGAACAGCAGCACTTTACAGCACCACTGAGCTATGAAAGATTGGAAATTATGCATGAGCAGTTTTTATCCCTGTTCCGATACTAGGAACCATGCACTAGGAAAAAAAAAAAAAAAGGTAATTTTGTGCACTAACAGTCTCTGCGTAGGCAGAAATCCCAAATGGTAGTGCTTATTCATACACAAGATAGTTTTGTTTAGCTCATAATCTGTGCATTGCAAAATAGTTTTGCTTAGTTCATAATCTGTGCATTGTAAGACCGTTTTGGCAAAAGTTGGTACTAGGAGAAAACTCTCAGATATGTTTGTCAGTAACTAAATCATGTAGTTTGGACTGCATGTCCTGGTCTTGTTGTGTAGTTACTGCAGTGGTCCAGCAACAGCCAAAATCTGCAAGTGAGGAGTAGCAGAGGAAAGTAAATAGGCTGTCTCACAACAGGATGTGTTGCATGTTTCATCTAGTTTATAAATATAGAAGTCAGGACTGAAATCACATATATATAGCACTAATAAATCTTGCCTTTACTTTCAAAGCTAGGGATAGTGGGACAGCTTCCCCTAAACATCTGGTCCTTTCCAAGATTTTATAGACTGTGAAAATTGGTAAGAGGTGAAACAGCTGCAGCAGCATGACATATGGTTTATTATATATTTCCTGTTTGTGTCACCTTAAAGTCTGTGTCCTTTTTGTGTATTGTTTCATTATAGGCTTTTTGTATTTAGTTGCCTTCATTATTACACAATAAAAGCCAAATGTAGCATGTCTTATTGTAGCAGATCCTCTGCAACTCAGAATTTTGCCTGAGAAAGGAAGAAAAATACATAATATCATAATTACAAAACTGTAATGAATAAGTGGTCCTTCCAGGTATCTGTATGAAACATTAAAGAGATATTTAAAAGTAAAGCTGCCACACTGATTTTGAAAATGTATATTTCGGCAAAGCTTGCTTTTGAAGTTTTGCCTGTTAGTTTACCTATCATAATCTCCTTCGTACCAGTCTCAAGCAAATTTAGCAAATGCAAGAAAAAAAGAATGAATGGAAGAGCTGTACCGCTGATGAAGGAGACTGCCTGAGGGCGGAGCCGTCTGATTCTGTGGAATGGGGAAAAGGGGATTTTCTCTGTCTCACTGCCCAACAGATATAGTCAAATTATACTTTTCTCCATGGAGCTATACCAATTAACAGCAATAAGGATGAGGGATCCCACTGTTCAGTCTGTCACAGAAACACAGAAGAGATAGATAAAGCTATTCCCACTTACAGAAATTCAAACCCGTATATCTTAGGGAATTACAATAAAATTTAACAATACTGTTACTCCTCTTTCTCTTGCTAACCTGCATTTCAGTCCATGTTTATATCTTAATATTCTTTTATTTTTCTTAATCTTAGCTTTCCCTACAGCTGATCATTTATTTCCCTTTAATTTCTCTTTTCTCAAGCAGAAATGTCAGTTGCAGAACGAGCCCACCTAAGTGGACACCACACTTTCTCTTGGTGCCTTTCATTCAGCTGCAGAATCAATACCCATAAAAAGATTATTTCCCTGGAAGCAAGTACATCTCATTCTGACAGCTGCCTTAATCACAGGTTCAGTATAGCAAAGAGGCCATAAGGCATTTGGTTTTTTTGGGATTTGTTTTACAGTTAGCATTGGAGTTAACTTTCTTCTGTCCTGAGGAAAAAAACATAGGTGATACTAAATATGAAAATCTAGCAAGACTGTGAGCCAAATATGATAATCCTTACCTAAGCAACTGACCACAACAGAAGAGTAAAAGTCTGGGTAGTAGTTTTAATCATATCAGTTACTCTATTTGAACTTTGTTTTTTGCAGACATGTAAAGTAATCCATAAATGCTTTGTTTCTGTAGTTAGTGACAAGATGTAATGAATGTGTAGTAGTGTGGCAGTGCAATTCATGGAGGTTTGGCACTGCATGTCTATTTATAACAGCAGAAAATATAAGTCCTTTTTTTCTCCCCTAGGACTTTTTCAATGATAAATCAGACTCATCTTAATCTTAACCCTATGTTTTAAAAGATGGGAGATTGTGGAAAACACTTCAGAAGTTGTCCAGTAGCAGAAATGTGGAAATAACAATGATTCTGACAGCTCAGGATTGCATCTCTGTGTGGAAAAGAGCCAAGGGAATCCTGCGCTAGTTTGTGTCCACAGTTGTCCTTCTGCTTAGACTGGAAAGAAGGTCACTTTGCTATCAGTGTATTCAACACTTGACAAGTTCTATAGTGTAGTAAAGGCAGATCAGCATGTGGTGTGTTCTCACTGCAGTATGCAAGGCCTGCAAGGCTGGCATCCATGCTCAGAGAGCCAGAGGCATCTTTTACTGCCACCATCCTGCTAGGCTTCAGCCAGAGAAGAAAATCATACCTGAAAGGCTTCAGCAAAAGCTCCTCCTTTCAGTGCTGAAGTTATTTCACTTATTGTAATTACAGCAGCTCTGCATTACTAATAAACTTTCTTCTTCTTGTGCTTTAAGAATCTCTTTTTTCTTCCCATCAGTATGACCCACACACTGATCTTAGGAGATCTCCTGAGGCAGAGTATACCATGCAGTCTCACTTAGAGCAACTAGACCATTTTAAGTAAAACTCCCCCCCAAAACCTTAGCTACTTACTCCTAGTGAAAGCTTTAGTGCTGAAAATATGCAAGCAGTTTTATTTACTGCTTTCAAAAGTCCTCAGGTTTCTGTGTTTTCTCTCTTTTGTGCGCAAGCACAAGGATAAACATTTTCCTTCATAAGGCCCCCTAGATCTGACTTTTTGTAATGGCTTATGACAAGAATAACTGCGGTCTTCAAGACTCACTTTGGTTCATAGGAAAATCAGTCTAGAATTGCAATAGCAATCTTGTACTATATTCTTGTGCTTGTGTATACAGCTACTGTTAGGAAATACAGCCATATATGTGTAGGCAACTACATTTTAGGTTCATGAAAATGAGGAACATCTGATATGTATTGAGATAATATTCAAAACAGATTCTTTCTCTAAAGTGTACAGCACAGAAT